TATAGGGAGCTGCCAGATGGTTCTATGCCTTGACTAGACTCACCAACGTTCCTTCTGCCTGATCATATGAATACTGACACCCTGCCTGTGCTATCGACCTGAGATTCTGCCCCTTCTTATTAGACTGCTTTCTTGGTAACGACACCTTGCCTGCATTAACAACTAGAGATTCTGCCTTGCCTTCCCTACTGCCCTGCTGGAGATATTGACCGTGGTCCAAACTTAGTACTGCTCTCTGCTTAAGCCCTTCATTTATGAAGCTGGACATGCATAATGCATACCATCTGGGCCGTATACGAGAAAGTGATGAGTGGAAGCCCGCGTTTAAGACTCCACTCAGACGTTTTAAGTACCAGGTGATGGCCTTTGGGCTTACCAATGCACTCACGGTATTCCAGGTGTTAGTGAACTATGTGCTCCAGGACTTCATCAACTGGTTTGTGTTCATCTACCTAGACGACATTTTGAACTTCTCTCAAACTTCGTTGGAACATCACCAACATGTCTAGCTCATACTCCATCTGTTAGAAAATTGCCTTTTTGTTAAGGCTGAGAAATGTGAGTTTGACACAGCCTCAGTAACCTTCCTCGGGTTTGTTATTGAGTGCGGCAAGATGCGGGCTGATCCAGAGAAAGTACGGGCAGACACTGAGTGGCCCACACCTAGCAATTATAAGGAGCTACAGTGATTTCTAGAGTTTCCCAATTTCTATCGTTGGTTTATCCGAAATTACAGCTGACTAAGCTTACTTCTACCTTGTTGAGATTCACCTGGTCTAAGGAAGCAAAGCAGGCATTTGATTGGCTAAAGGAAAGATTCACTACGGCCCCACAATGGGGAAATTCCTATGTTCCAGCAGCAATAGAGAGCAAGCAACAAAACACAATAAGAACAAACACCACACACATATCGTGAGAAACAAATTCCAAATACCTAAGAACAAAACAAAATATAGTATTTGAGAGGAATCAAGAAATCAAGAACAAGAATATTACTCCCATAATGGGGAGAATACCTGTATTTCATCCATAAGGATCTCTGAAGAACTACTCAAAAATAACTAAAAACAAGACAATATAAAGTATTTGAGAAAAATCAAGAACAGGATATTACATACAGTGGGTACGGAAAGTATTCAGACCCTTTTAGATTTTTCACTCTTTGTTATATTGCAGCCATATGCTAAAATCATTTAAGTTCATTTTTTTCCTCATTAATGTACACACAGCACCCTATATTGACAGAAAAACAGAATTTTTGACATTTTTGCAGATTTATTAAAAAAGAAAAACTGAAATATCACATGGTCATAAGTATTCAGACCCTTTGCTGTGACACTCATATATTTAACTTAGGTGCTGTCCATTTCTTCTGATCATCCCTGAGATGGTTCTACACCTTCATTTGAGTCCAACTGTGTTTGATTATACTGATTGGATGTGATTAGGAAAGCCACACACCTGCCCATATAAGACCCTACAGCTCACAGTGCATGTCAAAGCAAATGAGAATCATGAGGTCAAAGGAACTGCCTGAAGAGCTCAGAGACAGAATTGTGGCAAGGCACAGATCTGGCCAAGGTTACAAAAAAAATTTCTGCTGCACTTAAGGTTCCTAAGAGCACAGTGGCCTCCAAAAAGAACTGTTCAGAGCCTCCACTGTATGGTGCAGGGGATGGGAAGGGTTATGCATGATGGATGTTAGTTTTGCCAGCATCCTTCTGTCCACCACCTCATCGATGGAATCCAGGGGGCAGCCCAGGACAGAACCAGCTCTCTTAACCAGCTTGTTTAGTCTCTTTCTGTCCCTGTCCGTGCTACCTCCTGCCCAACCCACAATGGCGTAAAAAAATGCAGATGCCACCATAGTATCATAAAATGTCCGAAGGAGTACCCCGCACACACTAAAGGACCTCAGTCTCCTCAACAAGTGGAGGCGGCTCTGGCCCTTCCTGTGCAGGGCATCTGTGTTGTTGCTCCAATCCAGGTTATTGTTGAAGTGGACACCCAGGCCTTTAAAGGTGTCCACAATCTCAATATCTGAGCCCTGTAAGCTCACCGGCGTGAGTGATGGTGATTCCCGCCGGAGCTCAATCACCATCTCTTTAGTCTTACTGGTGTTCAGGACCAGGTGATCTTTCTCACACCACTCCACAAAGTCGGTAACAACCCCCCTATATTCTCAGATACACATCCAACAATAGCAGTGTCATCTGAGAACTTTTGTAGATGACACTGGTGGGAGTTGTACTTGAAGCCCAACGTGTAGAGGGTGAACAGAAAGGGGGAAAGCACCATCCCCTGGGGTGCCCGCATGCTGCAGACTACCACATCCAACACACAGTCCCGCAGCCTTATGAACTGAGGTCTGTTTGTAAGGTAGTTAATGATCCATGCAGACAGGTGTTGGTCCACACTTGCCCCCTCAGCAGTGACAGCTGGATTGTGTTGAAAGCACTGGAGAAGTCAAAGAACATGACCCTCACACTACTTCTGGGGGACTCCAGGTGAGATAGAGCTCTATGCAGCACGTAGATAATAGCGTCATCTACCCTGATGCCAGTTCGATATGCAAACTGCAATGGGTCAAGCACTGAGCTCACTTGGGCATGGAGGTGGCCGAGGACAATCCTTTCCATGGTCTTCATCAGGTGGGAGGTCAGGGCAACGGGTCTGTAATAGTTTGGCTCTTTAGGATGAGTTATTCTAGGAACCGGGACCACACAGGATGTCTTCCACAGAACCGGGACTCTCTCCAGGCTAAGACTCAGATTAAACATGTACAGGACCACTTCACTGAGTTGGTCTGCACACTCCCTGAAGACCCTGGGGCTGATGTGGTCAGGACCTGTGGCCTTCCTGGCCTTAATGCTCCTTAGCTGCCTCCTGACCTGGTCCACTGTAAGGCGGAGGGGGCGGGTGGGCAGTGACTGGTCAGAAGCTGTAAGCTGTTGAGAATCCTCCGTGACAGTGGGAGGAGGGGCAAGGTATAGCTGAGGTGTGAGCAGCTGCGAGGAGACGACTGACCTGGAGAGGTGAGTTGGGGGACTGGCAGGGTGGGGGCTAAGGACTGGGTAGAGTCAAATCTGTTAAAAACAGATTCAATTCATTTACCCAGGCCTGGTCTCCCACGACCCGGTGAACGTCCCCACTTTTTCCGTGGCCTGAGATGTGTTTCAATCCTCTCCACACCTTGTGTATGTTGTTCTTTTCCATGCTCTGCTTTAGCTTCTTCCTGTAGGTAGCCTTGCACCTCCAGATCATGTACTTTAGTACTAAATACTAAACCAGACACCCTTTCCCACCAATTCAGGTCGGCCCAAGACTCCTCCTGTCCTGAACCTATTCTTCACTCTGCTTGTGTGGTTGCTGCAGTATCCTGGGAGATTGAACAATCTGTAAGGGATGCCCAGATGGACCAGCTCTACCCAGGCACTGGGCCCCCCGGCCATATTTTTGTGCCCCCTGCCACACCTGCCTGGAGTCATTGCTCAGAAAACAGTCCTCAGTCCTCCTCTTGTAGGCAGCCTTGGCCTCTCTGATGCTTCTCTTCAGATTGGCTCTGGCCGCACTGTATTGTGTCCCATCGCCAGCCCTGAAGGCTGTGTCCATCTCCCTGAACAGGCGCTGCACCTTTTTTTATCATCCAGTGCTTGATGTTGGGATAAACCCAGATGCACTTGTCCACAGTGACAGTGTCCGTGCAGTGTGTAATGTATCCCAGGACAGCTGTGGTGTACTGCTGATATGCTGATAATATTCTGATTATTGCTGATGTTTTAAATTCCGGTAACCACAGCAAACTACCCTTACAGAAGTGTCTCGGTTCTGATCACACTACACATATAACAGATTGTGTAAAAAAACATAAGATGCAAACATTTCAGGAAAGCACACTCTATAATGTGAAACAAATAATGAGCAACACACTTAATTTCTGAACCATTTTATTATTTGTGTTCATCCCATTATGCCTTGCAAAGACAACAAACTCTTCAATAGTGAACAAGAAACCAAAGTTAAAAATAAAATCTACAAATTGCTGCTTCCTCATTTAGCTTCAGGATAAAAGTTGTTGTTTAGTTGGTGGTGAGGTAATAGAGAGGAACAGCGGGAAACAAGGTGGAAATGAAAAATATAGAAACATATTTCACAACAGATTAATAATGAAACTCTTCAAATTTTTTATTTAAACAGACCAGTCACTGAAGAACAACCTTTCATTTGCAGTGACATTCTGAAACCATAGCACTGCTCCAAAACCCCCACTCCCTTCCACTCAACCTCACGACATGGGTGTCAGCTAATAATAATAATGATGATACCAATAGTGAGAAAAAGTGTAAACAAATTTGGTATACCAGGTATTTGTTAGGGCTGGGTCATCATATCATAATATAGCTATGCAGGAAAATTACACATTAATAAATAATAAATACTCAGTAATAAGTACATCTGTGTAATTTCGCTGAACTACTTTTTTTTTGCAATAAACACCCTCTTAATCATTTTGCTATCAAAAGAAAAAATCTGTAGTGAAAATTGAAATAAAGCAGCCAAACAGCAACCATGACAGAAAGGAGGCAGCCAAAGGAGGGAAAAACAGATTGTTATGGTTAAAATAACAATAATCAGTGAAAACTTTCCAATAACAGAAAATAATACAACATTATTAAATTATGAAATACTTTCATAAAGAGCATAGGTCCTACTATCAGAGCCACTTTTAGGAAAAGGTTTTGAGAATATAGTTGCAATCTTTTGAGGAAAAAGTCATATAGGTACATATAACATTTTATTATTTTGGGAAAAAGTAAAAAAAAAATTACAAGAATAAAGTCTCAATTTAATGAAAAAACATGTAATATTACAAAAATTATGTTGCCTTTTTGCAACACAATGCTGAGTAAAGACAATTGTAAAAAAAAAAAAAGAAGATATCTAGCACTGTGGCATGAGCAGCTCTCAGGGGAAAAGATTAAATAAAAACAATATATATATTTTAAAAAGTCATTAAGTTTGGCTATAATTTAAAAAAAGTCGTAATATTACAACAGAGTCACAATTTTATAAGAAAAACTTGTACTGCACTTTGTTACTGCACCAGGCAACCAGAACCAGCGGTGAAAGAATGACTGTGTCGTGAGTGACTTGATGTTCTGCTAGTGTACTACCAACCTAGCTCAGGTCGAGTTTCTAGCAAGCCCTCAGAAAGTAGTAGCTGTTCACAGTTTGACTTTTCTCTCATCAGTTGTTGATTTAATCTCATTTTTTTTCCTAACAGTGGCCTATCATAAGGACCACATGTGATATACAACAAAGGTTACTCTAATTGCATGAATTAAAAAAAATCCCTTCAACAGTAAACAGCATGAGATGACACTATGGCATCACTGGACAAAATGGCTGACGCACACAAACGGTCGAGCCCACTGTATGATGCCTACTGTATCATGAAGAGTCTGTGTATGAGAGCTTTCAGTGCAAACCACTGGTCAAACAGGCTGTATCTGGAGTCTTAGTACACTAACACAGAGGCAGTTTGTGTGGTGAACAGGAGCGGGCAAGAAAGAAGCAACATTATGAAAGAAAGCAGTAAATATCAGTGTTGCAGAGTACTGAGTGAACTTAGTGTAGTGTATAGTACTGAGTAATAAATGTACGGTATATTTAAAGCCCTAACATGGAGAACCATATTAATTCATTTTGCTTACATACAGTACATATATCAGTCGATTCACATCCTTTAGATGCTGACTGTACCTGAAAGTGCACAACAACCTCTACTGTGTCTAACTGTGAATATAAATAATATAATGAAGGCTTCTTAGCTAATCAAACACACTCAACTCTTTCATCCTGGTGTGAGGACTCAAATCGAGCTGCAGCCAGTCTGCAGATGTCTAAAGAACCGGCAGAAATCTGGTCAGCTAAAGTTACATTGACGACGTGAAGAGCTTTGCAGGGTCAGTAACAAATCAACAGAAATGACAATGAAGGATACTAAACTGTAGATCTATCAAAACAAAGCTCTAAATGACTGGCCTGTAAGATTTGAAATGGTATGCTAACAGTCTTCCTTCAAAGGTTAAACGCTTGTTTTAGTGTCAAGTATGGACTTTACAATGTAGTTCTAATGATAATGTAATGTATGTGTGAGTTATCTGGCGTGTGTGGTTATGATGCCTGTGTGTCTGTGTGTAAGAGAGAGAAAGAGATTGTGGACCACTTACTGCCCCTCTCTTTCTATCTAATCCACTAATTTTACAACCAGAAATTTGAATTTAAAAGGTGCTATGTATAGCATTTTAACTCAACATGCTAAGTTAAAAGAAAAACTAAACAAAAATAAACAAACCTGTATTTCTGCGACACAAACATTTTTTCTGACTTTTCTTCACTCTTTGCTTTTGATTTTGAAGAACAGTTTACATTCGCCTCACTGATAGCCTTATTATAACATGGGTATGAACTTTCTAAGTGCAGCATTACATTCAGTAAATTAAAACTTGTTTAGGAACTAGATGTTACAATTTTCTTATGCCCAGGGGTTGTTAGATGAAACCTTGGCTTAGCTAACTGGGCCACCTGACACAATCTTGCTAATATATACCTGAACAGACTGAAAAGTCATGGGATTTGGTTGACAGCGCCAACTCTGCACAAAACAAGTGAATTAAAATGTTAACTGGGAAGGTTTTAAATTTCAAAAAGATAACAGTGTGTCACAGGGGCAGAACGAATAGAGCTGCTTAGTCAGATATTTCCCTCTCAGTTCGTACAACATGAATACTGCTAACTCCAAACCACACAGATTTCTCCCTGTATCCATATACCATATGAATAAAGCAAAGTCATACCCACATTTACAAAAGCTTGTCAGGCAAGCTTATATTGTCTGGTTGCCTAAAAGTGATATTCCTTCTGACTGCTTCTGGGTTACTCGACAGATGTTTAACTAATAACTAATTAAAACTCACGTTTATTAGTAAGAACCTGAGAAGGACTTTACATACGAACTAAGTGAAAATTCATGATTAGCTGGAACAACCCCACTCAGGTCTCAAAAAACAAGTAAAATGAATCAGTAGTTTTTGAATTAAATCCTTTAAATTAAACAAGTTAATGTTAGCATACTAATATTTATCACACAACCTTTAGTATCTTAGAATGTAAAAATTAACAGGTTAGCATGCTGTGCTAACATTAATGTACAGCTAAGGCTGATGGTACTATGGTTATTAATTGCAGAGGTATTTTGTCTCAGAGATTCCACTCTGGACCTGAGTGTTGGGCTGACAAACATTTTCATCCCTAAAGACAAGAAAATGGGGAGCAGGTGTACAGTAAGCACAGTCTAAGTAAGCTATGGGATTTAAATGAAATACATAAGCGAAAAAATGAGCTAGACATAGCACCTTTTTGTTACATAGAAGTGATGGTCTGTCTTGCCTGTTACTTCTTCTTGTTTGGCTGATGGCTAAAAATGTCACTCTTTAACTTACCATTCTTATATCTCAGAAAAGTATTTACCACCTTGGTTCTCTCTCACCTGGCCTCACCCTCACACATTCCATCTACATGTTGTCTGCATTTTACACCTCTTTTTCTTATCACTGTCCTCTTTCACTCTCCTGTCTTTTACTGTTTACCCCCAGAGTCCGCCTGTCCTCTCTTTCTCCCATCACTCTGAGAAGATGTTGGTGATGTCAGAATCCAGGCTGAAGATCCAGATCACTAACGGTGCAAAGATCAGGATGAATGACCAGGACACGCCCTTCACTGACTGACGTAGCTTTGTCATCATGACACCGACCAATCCTGTGTTGGCCCTGGTTCTCTGCAGCTCCTCCTCCTCCTCTTCAAGTGTCTTCAAGAGAAATAGAT